TGTTTGCTAACAAGTTTAAGTTCACCTCTAATATTAGCCATATAATCACCCAAGCGTTTAATCATAAAGGTATTCTATTTTAATTGTCTACCAAAATAAGAATTAAAGTCATCTTGCTTAAACATAAAGTCATCAAACTCATCTAAGCACTGACTAGCAATTTTAGTAGGAGGAACTTCAGCTTTATCATATCTATAGAGAGAATTTACCTTTACTACCTGTGTCGGGGTATCGAGATCAGGAGGTTCTTCAGTGAATAAGTAATGGAGATCATATACTTCTTCAACAGGCGGTAAATTAAGACCGTGTATTTCTTCAATAGGAGGTAAATTCTTAACATCTTCAGCTTTAATACCTTTTTCTTTCATAGATTTCTTTGCCTCTTGCATATCTTCGGACTGAGAAATAGAACACCTCTCTTCTTCGGAGTTCGTTTAGGAATAGGCTCAGTAATTGGCTCTGGAGCTGGCTCAGGAGGTGGCTCGGGAGGTGCCCAATTATTTTCATTTATCAACATATTATTCAATAGAATTTCAGTTTCATCCGGTGTTCTTTCCCTGAAAAGAGAACTAGCACGACTATCCAGGTAATCTCTGGAAGCATCAGTTAGTCCATTATAAAAGATATCAAGTATTTCAGGTTTCTTAAGAGGATGATCAGGCAAAGCATTAAGTAACTTGAGAAGCCTCCCCCAAGCTTGTGGGAGACTCTCTTCTTTAATTTGCACGAAGTTGTATATTTCCCTCAAAGCAGCTTGTTTCTTATGAGCAGGGAAATATTTAGCAGAGAAGTAATAAATCATATCCTGGGGACTACGCACAACACCAGGATCAAGAGAATTAAACCATATATTAGCATCACCCTTTAATGAGAACGGAAATATTTTGAGTAAATAAAGGTAGTGCGATCTCTCATCATTAGTAAACAGGTCGGCTATATCATTTAACTTAGTAAGATGTACCACAACAGTTTCAGATTCATAGCCATAAAAAGGATCATATTCAACCAAAGTAATTATATCTGGATCAACAGAAAATTCATAATAATCCTTATCGGGAACACAGATAGGTGAAGTAGCAAAAGCAGGGTCGGGTCTCATTCTATCTCTAAAAGATTCTTTACTCCATTTAACTAGCAACCTCTTAAGTTTGTATCTATCCTGGCAAGCAAAAATAGCTGCAGAAGATTCCGCATCAAAAAGATAACCCTCGGGAATAGCAGGCATATTTTCATCATCACTCTCATCATCATATTCAGATTCAATAGTTTCTCTTTCTCTAGACCTAGCAATTTTTTCATCAAGAAATTCACCAAGGGGCACAGTAGTATCAAGCATAGAAGTAGTTTCATCATAAGTATCATGCATAGTAGAAGTGGCATCATCAATAACATGCGACATATCAGAATTCATAGCAGTAGCAGGTTTAGGTGTCGCAAGCTTACTTATAACGGAAGGAGAATCTAGTGCAGAGCTAGATGGCAGTTCCTTACCTCCCCTCGTAGTTGAGGGCAAAATAGTAGTTCGATCGTCTTTCAAGTTCTTCATAGTGTCCAGCAGATATAAATCCCAAGTGACTCAAAGAATAGAGCTATGCTCCCCGGCAACGGCGCTAGAAAAAGGTCTTGATAACCCACAAGTATAGGGGATTGCAATAGTTTTCGAGGGTAGAGTATTCAACCCAAATTTATTGATTCGACACAAGGGGAGCCAAAGAATATTCTAAAGTATTAGCAGCTGAGTTGTCAATTCAACCACACCTGGAAACTTAGTATCTGCAGCAAAGTGTTTAGTAGAAAAGTAATATGATAGTGGTGGTAACGGTAACAAAAGTAAAGACAACAAAAGTAATGTTTTTGGTATTTTGTAGTGATTGAAACGGTAGCAACGGAAAAGTAAATAAGCGAGAACTAGTATATGGAAAACTCGTAGGCACCGGATTAGTGATGGATAATTATGCCGGATGCGGTTCGTCATGTAACAGTCATAACATAGGGTGACACAGAACTAGCTCCAATTCATCAATGTAATGTAGGCATGCATTCCGTATATAGTCATACGTGCTTATGGAAAAGAACTTGCATGACATCTTTTGTCCTACCCTTCCGTGGCAGCGGGGTCCTATTGGAAACTAAAGGATATTAAGGCCTCCTTTTAATAGAGAACCGGAGCAAAGCATTAGCACATAGTGAATACATGAAGTCCTCAAACTATGGTCATCACCGGGAGTGGTCCCGATTATTGTCACTTCAGGGTTGCCAGATCATAACACATAGTAGGTGACTATAGACTTGCAAGATAGGATCAAGAACACACATATATTCATGAAAACATAATAGGTTCAGATCTGAAATCATGGCACTCGGGCCCTAGTGACAAGCATTAAGCATAACAAAGTCATAGCAACATCAATCTCAGAACATAGTGGATACTAGGGATCAAACCCTAACAAAACTAACTCGATTACATGATAAATCTCATCCAACCCATCATCGTCCAGCAAGCCTATGATGGAATTACTCACGTACGGCGGTGAGCATCATGAAATTGGTGATGGAGGATGGTAGATGATGACGACGACGACGAATCCCCCTCTCCGGAGCCCCGAACGGACTCCAGATCAGCCCTGCCGAGAGAGATTAGGGCTTGGCGACGGCTCCGTATCGTAAAACGTGATGATTTCTTCTCTCTGGGTTTTTTCTCCCTGAAAGCCAATATGTGGAGTTGAAGTTGGCGTCGGAGGGCCACCAGGGGGCCCATGAGGTAGGGGGGCACGCCCAGGAGGGGGGGGCGCCCCCCACCCTCGTGGACAGGGTTTGGGACCCCTGGTCTTCATCTTTGGTGAGGATTTTTTATTATTTTTTCTAAGATGTTCCGTGGAGTTTCAGGTCATTCCGAGAACTTTTATTTTCTGCACATAAAACAACATCATGGCAATTCTGCTGAAAACAGCGTCAGTCCGGGTTAGTTCCATTCAAATCATACAAGTTAGAGTCCAAAACAAGGGCAAAAATGTTTGGAAAAGTAGATACGACGGAGACGTATCAATATTTCAAAAGAGCACGAGGCTGACCCCTACTACCACTACAATATTGTGGATGAAGATGCATGAAAGTCTGCATTCGTGTTGTTCGCGCTTATGCCTGTCCTTAATCTTGTTGTTTTAGATTTGTAGTTTGCTTTCGTTATGTTGAACCAGCTACCTTATGTTATGTGTGTCAGGGTTTGAACAAGTTTGCCTATGTCTATCAAGTACATCGTTTGCTTATGTCATCCAACAAGTTTGCTAGCTTCCTATTTTGTTGATCCATCATTTGAAGTTGAAGTAGGTTGAAGTTGAAACTTGATGGCTGCCACGTAGCACTAGTCATGGAGAAATAAAAATAACACATAAATATTTTCGCAAAAAAATAGTGGAAGACTAAGGACAAAAGCAAATATTAGCCTTGGATGCTCAGTACAGCTTAGACATGAACGGTAGTACTATCACACTACAAGAATCAGTTTTTAGTTTCAGAAGAACACTAAAAAGACTAAGTTTCAGCCGAGGACAACATTCAGTACTAAAAGCATCATGCTAATAGTAGTTAGAAATTCACTAAGTACTACAACAGGAAAAGCAAAGAAACACTAGTACGTATTTCCTAGTCACTAGCATGCTAGGACTGAAAGTTCTGGTACACTTGAACACACGGTACATTCATTCTACAAAATATAAAAAGGAACGGGAAGCTTCAGTTCGCATTCCCTAAAACAGTGACACACTAAGAATAACAGTAATAATACAACTGAAATCTCAGTACAACTAAGTCTATACAGCAAGTGCTATGACTATACCAAACATTGCCTGGAGAAGAACCACATCCTAGAAAAAAAGAAGGCCAAAACTAAATCAAAAAGATATAAGTTCGACAAAGGAGAAAAATCACAAGAAACACAACAGAAGATGTACTAGCCTCAAACAACACAAAAAATAAATAATTAATAAAAGTACTAGCACAATTGAAATGTCAGTACAACTTAGTTTATTTGGTAATTGCTATGATGATACCAATTAATGCCTTGAGAAAGAAGTAGTTTTGAACTTAATAGGGCTATCTCTTAAACATAGCTAATTTAAACCAGTGCTTTAACTTTTACTATGAAGTTCAACTACTAAAGTTCAAGAAGTTCAAACAAAAATTTGGCACCAAATTTTAAAAGCCTTACGCTGAATGAGATTACAAATCAGTACTCACAGAACTATATCATAAGTACAAGAAAACGAGAGTATAGAATCTATAAAGGTCCAACTTAGGTTGGAATTAGATAAAAATAAAATAAATCTCACTTTCTCAGCAACAACTCGTAAATACACTTGAAAAAAAGGTGTTTTCAGTTCAACTAGTATATAAGTCTTCAGTACAAAAAAATAAAACTTAACCAAAATGAATTCCCGATGAAACATACACAAGTGAAACAGCTATTCAACCACACAATCAGCATGGAAAAAGAGTTTGTTAAACATTGTGCCACACTTAAACACAACACAAAATATACTAGTTATTATATAGTTCTCGACAAGACATCAAACACTACAAATAGAGCCTACAATGTTTTCAAGAGATATATCACACAACTATCCCATTCACTATGCAAATGATGACCATTTCTCCTATGCATCAGGAGCCAAAGCCTGAACCTCCTTGGGAAGCTCCATAACCACAAGCTGGCTATTCTGGTTGAACACAACTCTATACAGATCCTCATCGTTCCAATCAACAATGTGTGGCTGCAAAACAATAAAACAAATTATCAAAAATCATGACACATAAAAAAAGGATACACAATAAGCCAAAAACAGAAAGTGAAAAGCTCAACAAGAACCCACGCCATTATCTCGAATGTTCTCAACGATCTTTTCACCATCATAGGATCCCGCATACTTCAGAGTATAATGGCCACATTCATTCGGCCCTTGAAGTGGAACCTTGACAAACGTTGGTTTCTTTGCAAACAGCTCCTAATTGGGCTGCTTGCTCACATTGTACTGAGCATCACCATACATAGCCTTCATTACTTGGACCAATCTAGAAATCTGTAAAAAAACAAAAGAAACCACATAGTTTTAAGTCTCAGAAAAAGCAGAAACAAAGATGCAGAAAAATTAATCCAGTACAGATAATAAATGTCACTCACAATCTTCTCGCAGTCTTTATGATAGGTGTTCTTTGAAGGACGGCGGTTCTTTGTATAAGGTAAAGAGTCAAGGATGTCAACGCTACTTCGGTACCGATTCATGACATATAGGGAAAAGTGGTTCACTTTCTTATCCTTTGCTAAAAACATAGGCTTGAATAGAGGCATCATGATCTAATAACAAATGACCAAAAAAGAGATGTTAAATATTCAAAATAAAAACCAGCATCAAAACAAACAAATAAAAACCAAAAATCAGCTAGTAGATCTCACTAGGTCGGCACTGAGCAAGTCTTCCTTATCTTTAACATAGCTCTTGAAATCTCTCGGTGCACTCTCCACATTAAACACTTTATTTTCATCACCGTAAAACGAACAGTCAAGCACAACCTGCAAAAAAGCCAAAATAGAATTGACAGCAAGAAAGGATCAACAAGCAAAGTACTATTAAAACTCGTAAAAACAATAGGCAGTCTTGTTCAACAGAAAGAAACCTATCTGATTGATTACCGTGATGAAATATGGACTCAGCAATATCCTTTTCCCAGATGCGAAATCAGCATTTCTCTCGGGGTCTTGCTTCCAATCATCAATGAGGAAATCCATTACATCACCCTCCATCATTTGCCCAGGTGTAAAAACTTCCCAAATGCGATTCCTGGTGAAGCTAGTTACGCTTTCATCAGGCTGAGGTATCATTGAGAATGTATTCGTGCAGCACACACAAGGACAAAAAGAAGGAGAAGTAAGATAAGGCATTCCTAGCAGTTCAAGTTGTATAAAAAGGAACAGTTCAGGTCATATTTATCTAGCAGTTACAAACAACAGAAGAAAATAAGAGGAAAAATAATGAGAGATACTCACTCGGCATACTTCTCACGCCATTCATCACTAAGCAACAGATTATACAACCTGCGAGCCTTGTCCAGGTGAGGGAATTTATGAGGGTGAAGCTGCTGCATAGGGGAGCAAAACTTTATAGGAGCTCTGGGCGCACGCTTCGTGCTTACAACATTGCCAGAATCCAAAGCAGGATCTTTCCTAGCACCACCAGCTCTACGAGCCACTATTCCAGCAAGGGGAGATAAACCTTTGGCAGCAGCGCTCCTCGTGACTCTTCCAACGCTAGCAATCTTGTCAAACACATCATCATCGCTGTCACAATGGGATTCTTGGGTGTAGTAGGGCTCTCTGCACAAGCAGCCGTAGAACCTCTCAGAGCTCCCAACCACCCCTTCATAACACCAGATCTTGTCTTTTCAGGAGAACGCCCCTAGCTAAGATCAATAGCTACGCGCTCGAGCTTCAAGAACTGGCTGCCAAAGAACCTGTAGTCATGCTCACCAAGATCCAGGCACTCACCTAAAAAGCAAAAACAAAAAAAGAAGAAGACCGCACAAAGGGTAAGTTCAAATACATATTTCATGACAGTACTAATAGAGAAGTACAAGCTGCAAAAAAATTACAAAAGTCCATGCACACGTACAGGGTTTGATGCCAAACAAACCTCGGAAGTCAACATCAAACACATCGCTAGTTGCGCAGGTATACAACAAAGTCTTCCTAATGTCAAGAATGTCTTCATGGCTGTAATCGACCATATCAATTACACCATCCTCCCGGCAATGATAGGTCTTGCAGTTTTGTAGCATAAAGAATCCACAATCATGCCTGTAAACAAAGGAAAAAACAAAAAATGGTACAACACAAATCCGAAAATACAAGAACAACATCCTCCCAGCAACAAAACAACCAGCAAAAATCATTAAAAACAGATACTCATGTGTTTTCCTACTGCGGCACCCGCACAAACTCGCAAGAGAAACCATCAATATGCACCGGCGAGAACGGTTTGGCCCTATCTACACTCGACTCCCTCCAAAGCTTCTTTATATTATCTGTCATATTCCTTAAGAATCTAACTGCATCACCCCAGGTTTCATCACGGAGTGAATCAAGACACTCGAAACGACGGAACCTCAAATTCAGACCAATCAAGCACCAATGCCCAGATTCTTCGCTAGGCTTCATGGTAGCCACAAATGACGGTGGATCAAATGTAGGGAAAAGAAGCTGGAAAAAATCGCAGAGGAAAAATGAATTTACCAAATCATAATGAAACAAAAAATTCAGCCTCCAAACAATAAAATAAAAGAGGGAAATTGAAATTCAGAAGTACAAACAAAAAATCAGATAATCATAAGAGTTATATCCACCGCCCAAAATTGAGGAACCATCATATCAGTTCAATTTCCTTGCAACAATAAGTGCAGCTTTAATAAAAGAAGCACGCATCATTCATAAGTACAGGTGTAAAAGCAAGATAATCAAGTTCATTCCCCCACCTCCCAAACTGCAAAGAAAACATGACAGTTCTAGTTAATGAGTACAAAAAGTCCAAGTTCACCTACTTGGTCAAAACTATCAGCACCTGATCTCATGAACCAATTTAGCACATTGGAATCAATATTTCCATCACGGATCTTGGTATGTTGTCCAAAAAGAACAACAACAGTTAGAAAATTGGCAAAACAAGTTATCATCCTATTTACAAAAAAGCAAAATACTGACCGTCACCCATCTGGGAACTATCAACTTGTTAGTGTCTCGGTACTTCTGACATAGAAAATATAAAAGAACGTCAGCACTGTCTAAGTTGAGCATGCCAGTGGGGACAAATGCTTTAGCAATAGAACCAACACTGGCATCACATTCTTTATTTTGAAACATTGGCTTGTGACTAGAAAAACACAAAAGATTACATGAATTAAAACTACTGCAACAACAACAATAATCATACGAGAGAAAGAAAAAGAGACAAAAATGGTACGGGCAAAATCCCAAACTAACCATTTCATACGGTTCGTGCGCAACCTCGTAACAGCGAAGAAAAACGTATCAACCTTAACAACATTACCACTTTCTGCTTGCAGAAAATGAAGAAAAATAATAAGTTCAACAACTACAAGAGAACATGTCCAAAATGCCAAAATTGAGAAGTACGTCTCATTTACAAGTCCTTACCTGGACCATCAGGGTTTGACGATGACAGTAGTTCCTGTGATGAGACCATTATGCCTCCAGTTTCAGGGTTGGACGATGGGACATCTTGAGAGGACACCAATATTGCTGCGCTTTCAGGGTCTGTAGAAAGAAAATGCTGGGACGACAAGAGCGCCTCCTGCGTCGAGGGGTCAGAAGAAATTGACAGAAGTAAATCATCATCCTCGAATGGCACCTCCTCCATGCTAGAAGCATCTTGCAATGCATCACCGTAATCAAGACCTCCAAGCGGGAAATTCTCCGGCGGAAAATCTTCACAATCAGGAACATTTTCATTCCCAGCAATACCAACACCAGGCGATTTGGCATCAAGTATGCCGGCAGCGCCAGCATCCTCATCAGCAACTTTGTTACCAACATTGCGCCCACTACTCAATGGAACACCACGAGCATCATCTCCACCACTAAGGACAACCTCACGCTCAACATCAGTAATCTGACAAAAATAAAAATTCAGAAAAAGTGAATAATATGAACAAAACTAACAATAAAAAATAAGGTACCAAGAGGTGCACAGAAAAACAAACCTTGGAAGCATTCACATCAACATCATCGATCTTGCTGCTGCTAACATTCAAAGCAACATCACCAATGGGCAAACAAGGCTCATCGCCAACAATAGGACCCTGATTCAAATGTAATGAGGAAAAAAACAATGCTATTATGAGCAACAAGAAACACAAGGAATTAAAACAACAGTAACAAAAAAGGTAGCTACCCCCTTGCAAACTCTAAACAGTGTGGGATAGAAAAATGAACAAGCAAGACACATTGGTGCGCATGAAAATTCAAGAAAATATGAATAAACACAATAAAAATAAAAATAACCTTGCACTTATCAGTGGATGGATCATTAATTCCATGGTCAACAGCATCCTCAACATTATGACTGGTCTCCTGCATGAAAAGAAAAATTAATAAACAGATGTAGATCAGGAAGTTCAACTACAATACTGATAGCAGAACAACATAGTAAAAACATACAAACAATGAGGACTCACTCACATCAACAACAGGGTGATGCAAGCCAACATCGTTCATATGCTGATCACAAACATTAGCCTCAGTACCATCATCAGCCCTGCTGTCGGTGCCAGCAGCCTCATCCTGATCAATCTGCATGAAAGAAAATTATAAATAAATAGATGAAGATGAGGAAGTTCAACTACAACACTGACAGCAGAACAATAAAGTAAAAATTGCAAACATCGAGGACTGACTCACATCGACATTAGGACGCTCCAAGCCAACATCATTCGTTTCGTGATCAGAAACATTAGCCTCAGTACCATCACCAGCCCTGCTGTCGGTGGCAGCAGACTCATCCTGCTCAAACTGCTTGATAACAACATTTGTACTTTCTTCATATGGTTTGCAGCGAGAGTTTTGCGTAGTTCTGAAACGCTTCATGTTGTTCAACAGAAGAACTGAGCTCTGAACTAGATTAGCAGCACTGTCACGCATATCACCGATTAAAATTCTCTCCATCTCAATGTAGTCAACAGCTTCCTCAGCATTAAATTGATGACCTTCAAGAAGGATACCATTGATACAGCTCAGACACTCAACTGTCATTGGGACCTTTTGCAGCTCAGAACACACATTACTTAAGATATGCTCTGCGCGCTCCAACGCTGAAACAACAACATCAATACCAAAACCCTGCCTCTGTGAAGCACTAGCATTACTAGGGCCAGGGGGGACATAACCAGCACCCTCAACACCACGGCCATCCCCTAACTCATCGGGCAGAGATGAAAACTTCGAAACCTGAGACGACGACATATCCAGGACTGGCCGTTTATACACTCGGAAAAAAACAACCTCCTCATGAGTTTTCCACTACAAACAAGGGGAAAATAGTTAATCAATCAATGCAACACATAGGGAAAAATAAATCATGATATTAACAGATCTAAAATCAACACCACTAATAAACTTTAACTATCATTGCCAATTTCTTAGTATTTTCCAACAGGCCAGTTGAACAAAGTTATTCAGTTCAACCACACATGAAACAACAGTACTAAAAAACCATACCTGAACCATACAAAATATAAACAGATAACTCTGCAGTACACATGTCCACTACAGCAAAAAATAGCTATACCTAAAATAAAAAAAAGGTCTACAAGACACAAAACAAATAAAACTCACCGGAAGCTTCCCAAACACCCAAGTCTTTGGATCTGCATTGCCTTTTTTTTATCAAATCTGCATCAACCAGATCAGAAAGCTTGGCAGGATCCATGAAACATATGCGGGGGACTCGCATGTCAGGCTCTGCACTCTTACCACGCATAAGGCAATCAAGGTACATTAGTACATGCCCTATGGCATAGCCTGTGATTCCTTCCCCATGGTATCACCATCTTGGTACTTGGCAACAGCCCTTCTAAGCTCATCAACCATCAGCTGGCAATAATCCATATTAGCCATATCCTCAAAGACGAGACCCTCAAACATTGCTGCCCCTCTGGAAACACGCGGGGGCAGAACCAGGCAACACAACCTTCGTAAACACAATAATGAAGAACACTTTCAGAGCAAGGTCATCTTTGCTAGGATCCTTGACGAGCACCTTGAGCTTATTCCTCAAATCCTTTGTCTTGATATCTTTGTTCCTGCTAATGTCAATCTCCGATCTTAACTTGATCAGAGCGTTGTCATATCCGTCCTCTGACGGCCTTAGCGCAGAACGACCACCACGAGGGAAACCAAATAATTGATGTATACCATCGCTAGTGATGCTAAGCTTCTTATTAGCCTCACCCATGTCAAGAATCATTGTATCATAATCTATCCTCACGTACAAAACTCCCATCAGAGGGCGGGAAATGTTAGACTTCACCCTCCACTTGAAGACAGAACCAAAACCAGATGCATGAACCCTAGCCACATGTCGACTATCAAGCAATTTGGCACAAGCTTCAACCTCTCTCAACGAACATCACACAGTTAAGTTCAATTTCCGTTGGTCACCTTCATCCAAGGCAACTTTTCCGGCATTGCCTCCCACCGGCTTGACCGGACTCATAACGCTAACAGGCTGTAAATGATATCCACACCTTCAATAAATGAATATAGAAAACAAAACAAGCATATGAATTCAAGTAAAAAAAAGATTGCACAAGTTCAACTATTAAAACAACATCAGTACCACCCTCAATTGATGCAAACAATGACCAGCGTCACCTGGCCACACTACTAGCCCAAACAAATTAAATCATTGCAAGTACAACTAGTAAGTCACATGCAGTACAAAACACATACCACTGCAAACAATGAGTATAGAAAACAAAACAAGCATATGAAGGCAAGTAAAAAAAGAAAAGATTGCACAAGTTCAACTATCAAAACAACATCAGTACCACCCTCAATTGATGCAAACAATGACCAGCCTCACCTGGCCAGCATACCAGCCCAAACACAAATTAAATCATTACAAGTACAACTAGTAAGTCACATGTAGAACAAAACACATACCACTGCAAACAATGAATATAGAAAACAAAACAAGCATATGAAGGCAAGTAAAACACAGAAAAGTTTGCACAAGTTCAACTATTAAAACAACATCAGTACCACCCTCAAATAGATGCAAACAATGACCAACCTCACATGGCCAATATACCAGCCCAAACACAATTAAATCATTGCAAGTACAACTAGCAAGTCACATGCAGTACAAAACACATACCACTACAAATTCATCTTCTGAATCAACTTCAATATCATCTTCTTCAGATAGAACATCTTCAGCTTCGACACGAGCATGCTTCTTCACACCTTTGTTCACCTTTGCAAGATGAACTTTACGCTTCTTATTTTGTTTCAACAAAGACCGCTCTTGAAGAGGAGACGAAGAAGGCTTCTTATTTGTCAAACCTTGTGGACTCCGACGAACAGGGGAGCCACCAAGTTTGCTTGGACCAATTTTCACAGCAACACTATCTGCATCAGCTTTGCTATTACCAGGTTGGGAACCAGCTTTCACACATGGGCTACGCCTCTGTGTGCCATCAGGATTTCGATATGACATCTTCCTCTTCAAAACAGCTTTCTTCTCCTTAACTCCATCACGATCAAACACTTACATCAAATGAGTTTGCATCAAGTTTTTCTTCACAGGCATGTCACTTCCATGAGATCCGGCATCAACAGTTGAAAAAGCCGCGTCACCACCTTCATCGCCTACACATTTAGGACCTTGAGCAACATCAACATCACTTTCTTGCACACAGGTAGCCTTTTGATGTCGTTCCAACTCCTTTCTCTTCTGGAATTCATACTTCTTCTTTCTTATACTTTCATCCTCGAGCTGTAACTGCATAGGAACATCCTCAGCCTGGGTAACAGGCATAGTGCCATCAACACTTTGAGACTGAGTAACAGACAACTGCAAGCTGCCATCACCATCATCAACGTTAAGAGAATACATTCCATCATTAATATCTTTAACAACATCAGCAATGTCCTCTAGAACACCACGGCTGTCATTAACTGCATAAAATAATAACATAAGCACGCACATAAAAAATTAAAACACAATTAACATTGCAGACACAAGATAAATAAAGCGCATAGCATCAGACACAAACAAAAGGAACAACTGATGTAACTAAGCATATATATGTATTAAAGGCTGATAAAAAAAGAGAAAATATAAGGGAAACACCAGCAACATTCACAAGTTCTTCTAGAGGATTTGGTGTCTCAAAAATAACATTCACAAGATCTTGAAAGCGTTCTGATTTGTCAGAATCAGGAGGCACCGGCACTCCAACATCTGCAACAACATCATAATTAGCAAAAAAGTACATGAACAAACAACCAGTTCAACTATGTGAACACTACAAGTTCACCCAATAAAACAAATATGAACCCACCACTGGCAGAACAAACTTCAGAAAAGACAACTCTTTCAACACCATACTAGTTCTTCACTGACTACTACAACCTATTCAAATGCCAAGATAGCAGTTCAAACTACACATGGTGATAAGTACTACAACCTGTCTGCAGGTCGCATCAACTGCCAAAACCATACACACCATACATTCCAGGGCAAAATTAACAGATATCAAAATACATACAACTTATAAAGTCGATACGGCAACAACTGTACAACCTAAAAACCAAATATGTTAAAACATCATCCAAAATACAGGGAAAATCACCTGCATTCAATTTGTCCGGACTGGATGATGTACCCATTGAGATCTACAGTCCTAAAATCTGCCGAACCAGATCTACAAGACACATTAACAAAAATTAGGGCTCTGAACTATTTCAGAAATGAAGCACGCCATACAAAAGCAAAACTCTTACCAGCAAACACAGAATCCGCCACGCAATCCAGTATCACTGCCGCCAAATGCTTGTTCAACAGCAAAGGAACCCTAGCGAGTGCAGCCTGGGACAGCAAAGAGAGCAACACATTAGAAATAGAGAGAAAATCTGTACATAAGAGGACGCAAGCAAAGTCAATGGCAGAGCAAAAGGAACAAACAGAGCACCCGGACCTACCCATGGGGTTGAACCCTCCGGCCGACGCACTCGTGGCGAAACAGGAGTAGCAACTTCCCCTGCGAGAAGAGAGGAAGAGGGGAATGAAGACGGAATGATTTGGGGACGGGAGAGGAGCGGAACTAGGAAGATCGGAGGTTAAAAGGTGAGTGGAGGGTTAAAAGGTGAGTGGGAGAAAACGGACGGCTAAAGCCCACAACTGTGGCGAAGCCCACTATCTCTGGGCAGTTACAAAAGATAATAACAAAAATCAAATAGAATAAAAAAATTAATATAGAGGGAGAAACAAACGGCTAAAGTACAAATAATAACTCACAACAGTACAATAAAAATTATCAAAAAAGTAAAAATGAAAAAATATTCATAACGGTGTTGGTTTTTCCCCTAAAAATAAAGATAAGATAACGGGGGCAAGTCATGTTACGGACTCGCCTCCGCACGCGATGCCGCGGCACACCGCGTCGTCGCCTGCTTTCCTAGCCCGGCCTCGCCGGGATGGGAGAGGGGGGGTC